TCAAATCTGCTGCCTGAGTTTGGGTTTAAAGGGTCTGGAAAAGACAAGTAACAAAGTTGAAGGCCCAAAGAGCTGCAGCGGGGAATTGCGTCGCTGCTGCTGCTGCTGCTGCTGCTGCTGCTGCTGCTGCTGCTGCTGCTGCTGCTGCTGCTGACGGTGACGACGTCAGTGCTGCTGCATGGGTCTCCCTCAAACGCAGTCTCAGCTGCTGCTGCAGCAAACTCCTCTTGCATCATTTCCTGCTGCTGCTGCTGCTGCTGCTGCTGCTCATGCTGCTGCCCTGCTGCCCGCGTGATAGTAAAAGCACAAGGGAACGGCTCTGCAGCAGCAGCAGCAGCCTCCGTCTCTGCCAGTGGAGGGTCTTCCTGCTGCTGCTCGAGGTCCACAGTCTGGTACCCATACGGGTCTTCAGGGATGCTGCTGCTGCTGCTGCTGCAGCTGCTGCTGCTGCTGCTGCTGCCGCTGCTGCTGCTGCTGCTGCTGCTGCTGCTGTATGTTTCGTCGTTCGCAATAGGACAGCCGGCAGCAGCAAACTGCACCTGCAGCAAACGCATGCAAAGCAATGTCACATTGGGGACCCCCCTCAGCAGCAGGGCCCCCATTAGGGGCCCCCCTCACAAAAGGGGGCCCCCCGGGGGCCCCCCTACTGGGGCCCTGACTGCAGCACACCCAAAGGGGGCCCAGGGGGCCCCCATGGGGGCCCCCTGGGGGCCCCCATGGGGCCCCCCAAATGGCCAGCTTAGGGGCCCCCATGGGGGCCCCTTGGGCCCTGCATGCATGCGTTGGGGGCCCCTTTTAGTGCCCCTCAGCTTAGGGGGCCCCCAGGGTCTAACTGCATGCACAGGGGGCCCCCGCAGGGTCTGGGGGCCCCTCAGTCTTACCCGGATCTCCTGGGGGCCCCCACAGGTGACCCTGTAGAGGCCACAAAGCCTGGGGGGCCCCCCTGGGGGGCCCCCCAGGCCCAGCCCCTGGGGCCCCAAACCCAAAAGGGAATAAAAGACTTTGCTGGGGCGCCCGGGGGGCCCCCAGCGGGGGGCCCCCACGGCCAGAGCGCGGCTCTGCATGCACAGCAGCAGCAGCAGCAGCAGCAGCAGCAGCTCGTGCGGCAGCAGCAGCAACAGCAGCAACTGATGTCCTGGCGGCAGCAGCAGCGGCAGCAGCTAATTCTGCAGCAGCAGCAGCAGCAAGTGCCAAGGCCAAGCTGTCGCTTCCTTGTATCGTTTAGGGCCGCAGCTCTGGGGTTTAAGGAGCAGTGTCAAGGGTTTAGGGTTTAGGGTTTAGGGTTTAGGGTTTAGGGTTTAGGGTTTAGGGTTTAGGGTTTAGGGTTGGGGGTTTAGGGTTTAGGGTTTAGGGTTTAGGGTTTAGGGTTTAGGGTTTAGGGTTTAGGGTTTAGGGTTTATGCAGGGCGCGGGAAACACCCCCGCGTTGGTGAACAGTTTGTTGACTTCGCTGTGCAACATTTCGCCCTTCCACCTTGGCAACCCAGCAGCTTAGCGCAGAGGGTACAGACACCCCAGCAGCAAACTGCCGCGCCTCTCTTCCGCTCGGGGGGCCCCCCTGGGGGGCCCCTTGAGGGGCCCCTTGGGGGCCCCCTTGAGGGGCCCCTTGGGGGGCCCCTTGAGGGGCCCCTTGGGGGGCCCCTTGGGGGGCCCCTTGGGGGGCCCCTTGGGGGGCCCCTTGGGGGGCCCCCAAGGGCCCCCTTAGTTGCTGCTGGGGTCCAGGGGGGCCCCCCTGGACTTCTGCTGCTAGGGGGGCCCCCCTTCTCAGCTGGTGGGGCCCCCGGGCCAATTCGCTGCACAAAAACCCTTGCTGCAGCAGGGGCCCCAAACCCTCTTCTAGGGTTTGGGGGGGCCCCCAGGGGGCCCCCAAGGAGAGGCAGCAGCTTGCAGGCAGCCAGGGGGCCCCCCTGCGCCGGCGGAGGGCCCTTTGCTGCTGCTGCTGCTGCTGCTGCTGCTGCTGCTGCTGCTGCTGCTGCTGCTGCTGGGGGCCCCACCGGTGCTGCCAGGCAATGGGGGGCGGGCTGAAGTAGGGGAGACCCATCAGGGGCCCCACGGGGGGCCCCTCGGGGGGCCCCTCGGGGGGCCCCTCGGGGGGCCCCTCGGGGGGCCCCTCGGGGGGCCCTTCGGGGGGCCCCCCAAGGGGGGCCTCAAGGGGTCTTGAAGTGACTTTGGAAATGTCTGTAAGGACATGATATTCTTGATGGATTTGTCCCCTTGAAAAGAGACGACCTGCAGCAGCAGCAGCAGCAGCAGCAGCAGCAAAAGCAGCAGCAGGTTCTGCTGCTGTGTCTTCTCCCGCAGCAGCAGCAGCAGCAGCAGCGGCAGCAGCAGAGTTGCACGGCGCGGCAGCGCCGGTGGCAGCACTCGCCGCAGCAGCGAGCTGCCCCCAACAGCAGCAGCAGCAGCAGCAGCAGCAGCAGCAGCAGCAGCAGCAGCAGCAGCAGCAGCAGCAGCAGCAGCAGCATCAGATTACGAAAAGACAAATTTGCTGCTTCATCTGTAGCAACTAAGACAAGTCCCTGGGCCTGCAGCGGCAGCTCGGGCAAGGGGAAGAAGAGGCCTTTTGCTGCAGCAGCTTCGAGCGTTGCTGCTGCTGCTGCTGCTGCTGCGCCGGGGCCCGCTGCTGCTGCTGCTGCTGCTGCTGCTGCTGCCTCCGAAGCACATAAGGACTGCCGCAGCAGCGAATCCCGCAGGGCCCCCCACAGACTGGGGGCCCCCCTGTGGGGCCCCACAGACCAGCCGGGGGGTTTATAAGCAGCAAACCAGCGGCCCCGCAGCTGGCCAAACACCACAAGCCTGCTGCTGCTGCTGCTGCTGCTGCTGCTGCTGCTGCTGCTGCTGCTGCTGCTGCTGAAAGGGCGGCGAGATACGGCGCCCAACCCGCTCCTGCTCCCGCTGCTGCTCTTTGCCCTGCTGCTGCTGCTGCTGCTGCTGCTGCTGCTGAGGCAGGTGCAGCAGCTTGCTGCGACGGGGGGCCCCTTTGGCTCAGAGGGGGGCCCCCGGGGGCCCCCCAAGGGTACAGAAGAGCCATTAGGGTACTGCAGCAGCAATAGGCGCCAGGGGGGGCCCCCAAGTGGGGCCCTCCTGTGGGGCCCGGGGGCCCCCAGCCAGACCCTCATTAGGGCCTTCTCTGTAGGGCCCTGCTTTTAGGGTTTAGGGTTTAGGGTTTAGGGTTTGGTGGGGGGGAATAGCCTTGACTTTTATGCTCTAACAGCACCAAGTACTGGCCTGGACTTAATTAAAGCAAATAAACAAAACGGGGGGGCCCCTGTGACCCTCTGGGGCCCCAAGGGGCCCCCGGGGCCCCCCAAAGAAGATCTGGCTGGCTCGAAGCAAGCTAGGGTTAGATAGTGTGTCTTTTTTGTGGAAAATAATGAATTAAAAAAAGAAAAAGAAAAAAAGTGATGAAAGATATTTGTTTGGAGGCTTCGGCGGTCCGCCGTTCGTGGGTTTGGGGTGTATGGACACCTCAGAGTGTGAGGCGGCAAGTGGAAGGAGAGAAATAAATGCAATCATTTTAAATTAAATATAAATAACTATAATAATAATAAAAGTAATTTAATAAATAATTTATTATTTCAAACAAAACAAAAGAACCAGCCTTTCTGAGGTGTACGTACACCCCAGAAGCTGGCCTAAGGTCACCTTCTGGGGTGTACGTACACCGCAAAAAAGAGCGCGTTTGCATGCAAATAAACGCGGCAGCAGCAGCAAATCAAATTCCAGAAGCAGCAGGAGAATTAGAGTCGCAAATTTGGAAAAAAGAATTAAAAAAATGCAAAAAAATGATTTAAAAAACACTTCAGCCTCCAAAACCACAATTTGAAAGTTTGTTCTTCTGCGCTGTCTGTACACCGAATTCAAGACTCACATCTGTCTGCCAAAGAAGCGGCAGCAACAGCAGAGCCAGCTAGCTAGCTAGCCAGCTAGCTAGCTGGCTAGCTAGCCAGCTGGCTAGCTAGCTAGCTGGCTAGCTAGCCAGCGAGCTGGCTCCCCGGCTGGCTAGCCAGCTGGCTAGCTGGCTAGCTGGCTGGATGGCTGGCTAGCTAGCGAGCCAGCCGGATGGCTAGCTGGATGGCTAGCTGGCTAGCCACACGGCTAGCCAGCTGGCTGGCTCAGCAGCTACCTGAGCAGCTAGCCAGCAACTGGGGGCGGCAGCGCGCAGCTCTCTGGCCCAGCAGCTAGCTGCAGCTAGCTGCAGCTAGCTGCAGCTAGCTGTGCTGCAGCACCGGCCGTCCAAGCGGACCCCCACCTTAGCCAGCTAGCTAGGTGGCTAGCTAGCTAGCTAGCTAGCTAGCTAGCTAGCTCGCTAGCCTTTTGCATGGATACCTGTTGGGTTGCGCACTTCACCCGAGACAAAAACGCCATAGCTAGCTAGTCAGCCAGAGCAGCTAGCTGGCTAGCCAGCTAGCTGGGCCAGTAGCTAGCTGGCTAGCTAGCTAGCTAGCCAGGATAGGAACTGGTTGGCTAGCCAGGAGGATGGTGAAGCAAGAAGCGCATGCGTCTAAACAATTTCCCTGATAGTCAGCTAGCTAGCCAGCTAGCTAGCTGGCTAGCTGGCTAGCTGGCTAGCTAGCTGGCCATCTAGCTAGCTAGCCAGCTAGCTAGCTGGATAGCTAGCCAGCTAGATAGCTGGCCAGCGCGGCCTGCAGGCCTAGTGGCTGCGTTTCTTCTTCTTGTGGCTCCTACAGATAAAAGAGCAGCAACAGCAGCAGCAGCAAGATAAAGAGAAGCAGCAGCACGAAGGAGGAGCAGCAGCAGCAGCAACAGCAGCAGCAGCCACAGCAGCAGCAGCACGAGCATCACTAGTAGCAGCGAGAGGAGGGACAGAGCTGCGAGGGCTGCAGCAAGAGACGGCAGCAAGAGCAGCAACGGCAAAAGTAACAGCAGCAGCAACAGCAGCAGCAGCAACAGCAGCAGCAACAGCAGCAGCAACAGCAGCAGCAGCAGCAGCAGCAGCAGCATACTTGTGTTTGCTCTTTTTCTCCTTTTTTCTCCTCT